TTATAAATGGGTAATGATCACAGCCAATTCTTTTTAAAGGTAAAAAGGGGATTATGGTATAGATATGAATACTTTGTTTTGGAATGGATTTTCATTTATTGATACAATTTAAGGTCAATGTTGTGATATGTATATTTCTCTTCTTGCTTATGTATTGTGTTTATATAGCTCATTTAAAAATGTAACGTATAATTTAGTACAGATTTTACATAGTTACCTATAATAGTCAAAACTTATAGCTAAGTTAGTTAGGTTTTCTAGATATACAGAGATGTATTTGAGATAGATAGGCATTCTTCAAACCTTTCAAAGACCTACAGAATATGGCATTTAAAATGGTTTAGGGTTTTTCTTGACAGTGAGACATAACTGCCCCTGGCAACGCCACCTGGGTCAGAAAGGAAGATGGACATAGAAGAAACGTGTTATGGAGTTTGCTTCCAATATGGCAAGACTAGCCATTTGGACAAGATACTGCTCTTGTCTGGACTGTTTGACTTTATGCTGTATAAACTGGACATGCAGGACCCACAGGAAAGTGACTTCTGATTCAAGATGGACATTGCTACAGAGATCCTGCTTCATGGAAGAGTCTGCGAGACAGTATGCAGGACACAGACAAAAGTGACTGACAAACTGCCAATACAAGAAGACAGTTTAAAGTTTCCCACGTTGCTGAAGAGTCTGCCTGACACACTATGGCCTATGGGCTGAAGATGGAAGATTACAGAAGAACTTCAGGTGGCCAGGCAATGAGTTGTCTCTGTCATTTCTAGAGCTTATATATTATCCTTCTGTGGTCTTTGAAGGAGTTGAAGACAGATAGTTATGGTTATAGTTTTCATTAGTTAGGATTAAAGATAAGTTACTTAGACTTTAGACACACAAAGATAGAATAGATGATGAAATATTTTCTTCAAATCTTGCTAAATATTAATGGACTAAATATTGTTAACTGTGATTCTTATTTGATAACTGTTATGTGATATATTTTGCTATGTTAAGGTTAAAACCCTTCTTTTTATTTAAACAGAAAAGAGGAGATGATGGGAGATGCCATTATGTATATACGTTTCTCATACTGGTTAATAATAAAGCACTGTTGGCCAATAGGAAAGGAAGATAGGAGGGACTAGGAGACAAGGAGGAAATAGGAAGTAGTAAGGAGGAGTCAAGATGGAGAGTCTGAAGAAAACAGTATGCCGCTGGCTCCCCGGTAAGAGAAATACATAGATCAGCAGAAATGGGTTAATAATTAAAGGCAGGGCTAGCCGATAAGAAACAAGTAACCGGGCCATCATTATTGTATCAAATACAGAGTCTCTGTGTGTTATTTGGGGCTGGTGGCGTGGCGGCGGGACATGACTAGCGGTGGCGGGCAGAAAAAACCATACTTGTTACAAGGTGTTTTCTTGATTTGGACCTAATCAATTAAGAATCTTCTCAATCTAACTGATCTGTAAAGTTTCGTCTATAGATTCTGACCTGTTTCATTTTTTATTTGAACTATTACAAGAGTCTCTTAGTTAATTTTGTACATATTGTTTATTACCTTATGTATATATAGTAAGTCACAGAGCTAACTAGCATTGTCATCCAATTACCATAGCTTCCAAATTCAGAAATTTAAAGTTACTTTCTATAATATCTACTAAAATAAAAGCAAAACTTGTTACCAAAAAAAAAAAAAAAGAAGAAGAAGAAGAAAAAGAAGAAATAGTAACAATACTAGGAAGATCAAAGCAATAGAGTAAGCAGTAACTGAATCAGCAACGCAGGAAAAAAAAAAAAAACTGAAATGAAGAACTGCCTACAACAGAGGATTCAAGAGAGCAGACAGACAGGCACACAGACAGACAGAAGAAGGAAGGAATGTTGGTTGGTTTTCACTATAGAATATCAAACACAAGACGCATCAGTGAGGATGCAGGATAGATAGGGTCAATCCCAGAAGCTATTTAAACCCACAGGACATAAGAAGTCACAGAGCCTTAATGATGTCAAGCAAACATGACCCCTCTTTGCTTCAGCAGTGACATAAGGCTGTTTACTCTGGAGTGACTGTACCAAAGGCACAATTATAGGGAAGAAACACAGTAAAGGTCTGTAACATAGATTAAATCTTACATTTTTGCCTAGTTTGAATCCCAAAGTGCAGCAAGCAGCCTCATATATAAACCTTCCCTCCACAAAAAAAAATCTACTCTCTGCCTATTAAAGGGGGAGAAAGGGACAAAGAAAGACTAGGCTGTTTGGAGAATGCAGACAGAGCCCTTTCCCACCTACACCCACATAAAAATCTCCTTGTCTTTCAGCCTGTCGACTCTGTACACAAAGTGAAGAAAGCACTTCCACAGAACTCATTCTCCCTGCCCTCCCACCAAACTCTTCACCTTTCCCAGTCTCTCCCTCATAATGAACACTGGTATTCTAAGTCAGGCTTGGAATGCACACCACAATCAAGCCAGAGATAACGCTGAGTACAAGCCACACTTAGTTTCCACCTAAAGCTCATATGGACAGAAAAGGTTAAAGGCAAGAGTTTGCCAGGTACACTGCCCCACATCTATAATCTTAGCACTCAGAAAATTGAAGCCGGAGGGATGCTGTCAGTTAGGTCAGTGTGAACCTATAAAAAAGATCAAAGTTTCTATACTTTTCCCAACAGTAAGTGATCTATCTTTTCAGAGAAGCTTCAATGAAGAAGAGTGTTTTAGAATTCAGGGTCCTGATAATTAACATAGCACTTTGTTCTAATATGTGGAATCTAATATGGAATCTTTGTTCTAATATGTCAAGCAAAGGTAAATGAGGCCTTGGACTCAAAAAATGTCCTGAATTTAAATTGTAGCTCCCAGTGCTTAAGCCCCAAACATATCAGGACTCATTTATTTTCAGGTTAATCTAACTATATAGTGTGCAGGGGTTGGGGGAAGCGTGTGTGTGTGTGTGTGTGTGTGTGTGTGTGTGTGTGTGTACATGGGAGGGTGGGGGTGGGGGGGTATTTCAACTGCATGTATGCTTGTGCACCCAGTATCACAAAGGCGAGAAGAGGGTATCAGATTCCAGGGAACTGGAGTTACAGATGATTTTAAACACCATGTGGATGGTGGGAATGAAGTCTGATTTCTCTTATCAGATGAGCCATCGCTTAGGCCCATTTCCAAGTTAACTTTTAAACTTCTTTTTTCTTGTTGAATAACTGCAGTGTGTTATACAACAGCTGTCCTATGCATTCTTTACACAATTTTGTTCAGAATGATAAAGTCATAGAATTTAGCAATAGAGTATCTAGTTCTTTTCAAGTTTACATGCTGAATATGATTTTAGCACAAGCCTGATGCAAATAGTCCTGGGGTGTAAGGAAGACAGTGTGTCTGCCATAATGCAAATATGACAGAAATAATAAATAGAAATGGGTCATACATTTTCCTTTAATCTATTTTCCTTTACACTCTTTGGTTTATACAACTTAATTTTTCGGGACTGGAAAGATGGCTCAGTGGTTGAGAGCACATACTGCTCTTAGAGAGGACCCAGGTTCAGTTCTCAACACCTATGTCAGCAGACAATTTTCATTTTAGGAGCTAAAAAAAGAAGAAAAAAAAAAACAAAAGAAAACAAAAAACAGCTGTTAAATGTAGAAAGGTCTCTATTATATAACTAATTTCTCACATGCTAGAAATATTTATAGTTTTAATTGATGTTAATTAAAGCCTGGTACTTCCTAGTGAGATGATTTCTTTATCCTCCAAGGACTAAAATGGGAAGGGGAAAGGAAAAGGAGACTGGAGGTAGCTTATACTGCAAGCATGTGACTAACTGGTAACCACAGCAATAAAGTAAACTATGTTTGGGGGGTGCACTTTGGACTTGTTTTCACTAAACAGTAGAAAGTGTGAAAGGAACATTGCTTGGTGCTGGAGCTTTGACTGGTTAGGTACTGGGTTTCCTTACTTAATATAAGCCCTGCTTGATGTTTCCAAAGAAAAAGACTAGGACTCAACTAAGTTCTTAAGAGAAACTTAACCATGAGTACATAGCTTTCCCAGAAAGATAAGCTATCCTTCATTCTAAGGTTACTGGTGAAACCCTTAATACATATAGAGTCCTCACTTGTAGACATTACTATTGCAAAAATAAAGTATTTTAGTCACCCTTGCTAAAGCACACTGCACCCACTTGTTACTGTTTGCAAACACAAGGTGTGTCTAACTTCATAAGCGAACCAATAACTGTACCTCTCTGAGAAGACTAGATACATCTGAAGTCCAATAAAGCCTGAATCCAGACATTAATAAACTATTTTTTAAACATAAAGTACTCCATTGCCAGCTTTTTAACTATAACTTTCACCACCTGTCTGTGTCTCAATACTAGGACTAGATGAAAATGCAAATGAATTAATGTAAATCCTCTGGCTGTCATGCTATTTAATACAGTATTTAATACACCATATCACTTAGATTGAAGGTTTTGGTAAATTATTATTTCTGATGTTATTAGTTAAAAATCAACTAACATGTTCCCAGTATTTTCAGTAAGATACACTATCATTTCTATCTTTTTAAAATATTAACTAATAAAAGATAACACCAAAATCTATATACTAACTTAACCCAACTTTGATTTATCACATCAGCATTCTAGAAACAAGAATCAATGTTTTCACTAAGTGAATAGTGAGGACTGATATAGCTGCTTGCCTAGATACAACCTGCACTGTAACTGAAAGCCCCAAGTTTATTAAGAGATATTTAGAGAGGGATAAGTGAACCTGTGTCTTTGACAGTATTTTCCAAAGTAAACTTTTAAAAAAGGAAACTGTGTTCATCAACTTAAGAATACAGAATCGGTAACTTTAACTTTCTATTTAAATTCAAAGAGTAACATTCAAATTATTGTTAAAAAAAAAAAAAACAACCAGAAACAGCAGCCTCTTGCTTTGCATAAAGTGCAGCAGAGGGAAAGTTCTGCCCTTAGTCCCTGAGAATACTCACATGTGTGGGTTCTGGACTCCTGTAGTGTTAGGATGGAGAGTAAACCGTGCAGTTGATTTGACAGGTGGATTGGCAAAATTCAACTTCAGTGCTTTGCGTTTACCTGAGAAATAACAAACATAAAGTAAAGTTTCAAATACTAACCATAAATACATGCAATTTTTGTGGATTAAATTTAATAATTTTTAAACATTCAAGTATTATAAAAGCAGGTATTTCTTTGAAGGCATGAGAAATTCAGTGAAAGGCAGAGAAACTTGCTTTAATAAATCAGTCAATATAGAACAATATTTTAAAAGCAACAAGTATCTCCCTTTGAAAAGAAAGTAAACAAAAGTTATCATATGCCCACTCCCATAAATCACTCTGTGCTGCAGGGCATCAGACGATGCTTGGTGCTTCCAATTGAGAGTCCAGAAGCCTAATACTTGCCAGGGAAAGTACCAGCCTCAATAATTACGTCCTTGAAGCAATTTCTTTGGGCTTAAAAGCAGGGAAGTATTCAATTTTTTAACATTGTCCATTATAAAAAGGCAGAAAATTCAGAGAAAACAGGTTTTTGAAATGTTAAACAAATGTGTAATACATAGCATTTAAAAAAAAAAAAGTGTAATCACTTATCACTCTAATTACCCCCAAAATAACGATTTGTTGCTTTCTGTTACAATCTATTTCCCTAAGCATAGTCACATGCTTTATCTCAAAATTTTACTCAGGCCATGGTACTGCTTCAATGTGCTTTTCCTTGCTAGCCATATTTCTGTCTGGGCCAATAAAACACAAAGAATCACTTTAGGGATTCTACATATATTCTATAACAGATGCAAGTTTTCACTCATTCTAGTTTAATGTTTATTGTAGGGATACTTTCTCCAGCCTTCCTGTTTCCAAAGTGTTTTATACAGATGTCTAGCTACTCAGTTGATCTCTACAATCAATTTTCCCACCTGTACATGCTAAAGGTTTACAAGACCGCACCAGATGTGCTTGGGGAGTGGAGCAACCGGTAACAGGCTGAGAGAATACAGCTCTTGGGCAGTCCTAAGAGCAGAGGGATGGACCTTTCCAGAAGATAAGGAAGACACTGGGCATAGCTGCTTCAGAAATGAGGACACTACAGGAGTTTTCCAGGTATCAAAATTTTACTTTCAAACCACTTTCATCTGATTCAACTAGGAAGATTCAAACTACATGAAAAGATGCTCTGTGAACAAAAACATCATATTTAATTTCAAAAGTATATATTACTAGGCGGTTGAGGAACAAAACATTTTTTGTTGTTTAGTTTTGATACAAGGTTTCTCATAGCCCACCTGGCCTCAAAATCACCATGTAGCTGAATAATGAGTTTGATGTGTTAATTTTCCCTGTCTCCACCTCCTGAGTGTATTAGGATTATAGGCATGCATTATCACACCTAGTTTAAAACTTTTAAAATTAAAACCAAAACTAGGAAAAACCATTTGGATAAAGCAGCTGACTAAAGAATAGGGAAAGATTTTACCATCTGATAGAGGACTAATATCCAAAATATATAAAGAACACAATAAACTGAACATCAAGAAAACATAATTCCATTAAAAATGGAGTAGAGATCTAAACAGAATTCTCAAATGAAGAAACTCAAATGGATGAGAGCACTTAAAAAAAATGTTCAACATCCTTAGTCATCAGAGAAATGCAAATCAAAACTATGGGATTTCATTATATTAATGAGAATGGCCAAAGTCAATAAAATAAAAGACAACTCATGCTAGTAAGGATATACAGTAAGGAACTCCCATTGCTGAAGGGAGTGTACAGTCACTACGGAAATCGGTTTGGTGGTTCTTCAGAAAGATGGCACTCAATTTATCTCAATTTCCAGCCATACCACCCTCAAGCATATACTTACAGGATGCTTAATCCTATAAAGACACTAGTTCAATCATGTACATTGCTGCTCTATTCATAATAACCAGAAACTGGAAAGAAACCAGACGTATGATGAAGGATAAATGGATAAAAGAAAATGTGGTACATTTACACAATGGAATATTACTCAGCCATAAAAAAAAAAAAAACATAAAATTTGCAGGTAAATGGATGAAACCAGGAAAAAAACCTGAAAGACAAAAAGACCCAGAAAGACAAAAAGACAAATATGATGTGTATTCACTTATATGTGGATGTTAGCTGTTAAGTCATTGATAAGGAAGCTACAATCCAACCACAGAGGCTAGGAAGAGAGTAAGGGACTTGGGATGGCAATAGATCTCCCTAGGATAAACAGGATAGATAATTATGGATGGATGAGAAAGAGGGAAGACTGGATTGGGAGATCAAATAGGTAGGGAGACAGAAAAAGGGGAACAAAAAAGGGAATGTGGGGAGGAATTAAAACTGAGGGCCATGGAAACCTAATACAGTAGAAGCTTCCTATAATATATATGTGTGTGAAAGCAATCTAAATGAAATGACTATATAATGGGGGAGAGACAGCCCCAACTGAACACCTCTCAAAGCCAAAACAAAGCTTCCATTACTGAGGGAGGGTCTCAACAAATCAAGTTCTTGGACAAAGGGATCCCCATGGGAACCCTCAAACAACCCAGACTATTGTCAATGCTGTTTGTCGCTCTCCACAAACTGACAGACTCTATGGATGAAGACAACACCTACACAACTCATTAAACTCAGAGAAGTCAAGCTGGCATTTACCGAGAGCCTTCATCCCTATTCGTGGTACTGGAAGGTATTCTTCATGCTGCCCAAGGAGAAAGGTAAATACCAACCCAGCTACAAACCCCACAATCCACAAGAGTGCCATGCCTGCAACAGATGCTGGTGCAATAGCAGCACAAAGCTGGTGGGAGTAACCAACCAATACCCGCTTTTAGTTAAGGCCCACTCCATGAGCTAGAACCCATACCCAACACTACTTGGGTAGCCAAGAACCTGAGACTAGATAGACCAGGAACCCAGGAGACAAAATACCACTGTTCTTCTAAAGGAATACAGCAATAAAATGACTCCTAATGACATTCTGATATACTCAGATCTCTGCCTGGGTCAGCAATCATCTGATAAGCGTCCTTCTGCAACAGATCAGAACAAACGCAGAGACCTTCAGCCAGACAATATGCAGAGAATGAGAGACCTTGGAACACTGAGCCCTAAAAGGGAGGTCTCCATCAAGTTCCTTCTCTCGAGGCTCAGGGGACTCTGTGGAAGAGGGGACAGAAAGAGTGTAAGAGCCAAGGACACCAAGGAATCAAGGCCTTCTCATCACAACAGGGCTGGCACACATATGAACTCACAGAGACTGTGACAATATTCACAGGGCCTGCAGGGGTCTACACCAGATGGGGTCCTAGAGCTGCAAGGAGAGATTAATTCCAATTGATAACTACTTGCAAATGAAAAGTTAGTTTTCTCAGATGGAGTCTCACTGGGGAAACTACTCTTATGGGTAGGCCCCATGCCCAGCAGTAGATGGCTAACACAAAATGAACTCAAAGGCATCTTTGGAGGTTGTCTCATAGTGTTATATCAGGGAGGGTTCTATTTCTTTTTTGTTTTTTGGGGGTATTTTTTTTTTCTAATTTTACAGGTCCTTTGTGTATATATTAGAGTTTCTAGTTCGGGGTTTTTAAGAGTTCATCAACATTTGTGTCTCTGCACCTATATGTGTTTCTTGTACTGTTTCTTTGGCTCTTTTTCTTGTTTGTTTTGTCATAGCCTAATTTGTTTGTTTTTGTATTATCATTGTATTGTATAGTATTGTATTATTATTCCTTAGACACCTGTTTGTTTTCTAAGGAGAGACACAAAGGCAGTGGATCTGGATGGGAGGGGAGATGGAGAGAAACTGCAAGGAGTAGGGAGAAGAGAAACCACAATCAAGAAATATTTCATCGAAAAAAATATTCTCAATAAAATAAAAAATTAAATAAAATCATTTTAACTGCTTCTTTGGATTTGTGGGATAAGGAGGGAGACAATGACAGAGTAACCCAGCCAAACAGAGCCTGCTAATATACACCAGGCTAGCCTCAAACTAACAACTCATCTCCTGCTTCTGCCTTTCATGTGCTGGGATTACAGGTGTCACCACCACATGTGGCACAGCAATGTGATCTTTAACATTTAAAAGCAAAACAAGAAGCAAACGTGTTGAGTATGGTGGTTCATGCCAGCACACAGGAAGCCATGGCAGGAGAATTACCGCAGGTGTGAGGCCCAGCTGGTCAACACAAGCAGATTCCAGGTTGCCACGGCTATACTGTGAGTCTCCTTCTCAAGCAAAACAAAACGAATTTGACAAAGAACATTAATATCAACAAGAAGAACTGTGTGAAATGCTAACACCAGAAACATTCAAGATGTTTTATTTGTTAAAGTGGCCCAGTCTAGAGGATTTGTGTTAAGTACAAGCTTGGCTAAAAGAACATACTGATCAGAGTGACTGGGCGAAAGAATCATGAACAGCAAATAGCTTTTTAAAAGCAAACTGACAGAATTCAGCCATATAAACCCATTTTTTAATGAAATGTTCCTTTCTTCTTGAAAATCTGTCCTTGTGATTCTCAAAGGCAAGGGATTTGCCTTGATGGGACTCACTGTTTTGATTCTAAACTGTTCCTTCTACTTGGTCTTCTGTGAATGCGATTGTTGCTCACACCACCCTCTCACCACTGAACTGTGGAGTCTAGATCCACAAATACAAATTACTGAGCCAGGATGGACAACACACTGAGTCTCAACACTAACTGACTGAAGTGATTCTGATGATTGTCTGTGTTGATGCTGTGATGTGAAAAAACTCTGCGGATGGTTGAAGTAATATAAATGTATTTTGCACATAAGCTATATATAACTAACTTAGGACCAGAGTGCAGTGGGCCGAATGGTGACTCCCAAAGAGTTCAAGTTCTAACCCCTGGAACCTATGAATATTACATTATATAGCAGGGATAGCAAGAAGACTAAAGATGAGCAAGCACGTATCTTAGTGAGCTGAAACCCAACAAAGTCACCAAGTCAAAAGCTGAATATCATTTGTCACATGCTTTGCTTAAAAACAACTCTTCCTCTTCCCTCACTCATCAGTAGGGATGAAGT